CAGCAAATATGTGTAAAATAATTGTATTTTTGCCAATTTAAATACAGTAGAATGAATGTAATTTCACAGGCAAGTGCTCCAACAGAATGAATTTGTAAAAATACAGATTATATGTGGATCTTAGTCACAGTTTTGACTTGTTTTTTACAGTTAACGTGAATTAATGCTGTTTTTTCTGTGATTTTCCTTCTGTTATCTGCAATTTATTACAACATTGAAAATGTGTAAAGCGAAGTTATTTTATTTCTGTAAATGTTTCTCAAACTTTTTGTTTCATGTATTTCATGGGATTTTTTTTATACAACTAGTTTTTGTTATTTTATTGTGTATTGTGTTCAGTCTTTCAGTGTAATTTATCTAGTTTTATTTTTATTATTTTATTGTCACATTTTGGCCTTCCCATCTTGTTTTTTTTATTTATTCCATTTTATTCTAGCTTTAATCTAGTCCCTGTTTATCCTGTCTTATCAGTAAGCTTTGATGCACTTTAAACTGAACTAAGAGCAAATCAAATAAAGTTTGATTAAAAGTAAATGCTGGTTTCACTTTTGTCACTTTACGTGCTCAGAATATTTTTTAAAATGCAATATTAACCTGAATACAAAATACAAAATTCAGATGAATGTAGTACTACTAATGTAGTACTACAGTATAAGTATTGTGTAGTATAAAGTAGTCGTGCTGAAGTAAAATATCAGTAGCGCACATCTAAGTCCAGAAGCTGCTGAGAAAAGAGGAACTTTCTTCTTTTATTTTGAAAACAAATTATTTAACTCTCACTCAATTTGTAGAATTTTTTTTTTCTTTAAACAATGTATGAATTAGCAATTTTGTTTTGTTTTGGTTTTTTTGTTTTTTTAAATTCGTAGTTTCTTCCACTTCCTGATGTGTGTGCTGCGTTCAGGGGTCAGAGGTTAGATAGTTTTTTTTCAAGTCACCAGCAGAGGGCGCAGAAAACTCGTGTTCCAGGTGGAACTACTGAGCGGTCAGACAGAAACGTTGCCGTTTTCCGTGTTTGTAATAAACCTACGTATAATATTCTTATAATATATTATAAAAAGGACACCAGAAGCGTCTCCTTTAGCGCTACCAGCTCCTTTATAACCCGAAGTTTAGGTGAAGAGGGTCTCAGGTCAGGATGGCCGAGCGGTCTAAGGCGCTGCGTTCAGGTCGCAGTCTCCCCTGGAGGCGTGGGTTCGAATCCCACTTCTGACATCAACCTTTTTCTGTATTAAGACATAAATAACCAAAGCTGCTCTCCACATTTAAATTATGCCACCTGTCCTACGGTTTGAACTATCTGTTTATGTTTTTTTTTATTGCGCAGTGATGACATTTTATTGCTGCCGCATTTTATGATTCCAAAACTTTATTGCCCTCAATAGTGGAAATGTAATTTGATGGGTCAGCACAATAAAACTTAATTACCAATACATAGATAATAAATTTAATACCTCCGTATATATACCAAAAAAATAGAGGGGTGTATAAACAAATATGGAATTATCATCTATTTATTGTGTTTTTCTGATTATTATCTTACAACAGAATAAAAATAAAATAGAAATATTTCGCTGATCCCTATGGGGGAAATTCTGTTGTTACAGCAACAAGCAGAAAGACTAAAGTGACCACCGCCACAATACAAAAATAAAAGAAATAGAAAATTATTGTAAAATAGTACAAAATGCGCAATAAAGTGTAAAAATGTACAAAAGTGTGAAATGTTAACAATAAAAATCTACCATGAATGATGAAGTTTAAGTCTTTTAAACACACTGCAACGTGAGCAACGGCTGCAGAGAAACAGATCAATGCAAAAACAGGACGTTAATTGTGTTATCAACAGTGACGACATTCTTTCATGTTTTTTTATGTACTATATGTTTGTTGAACACATTTCTAACATATTAAGTTTTACATTCATGTGATGGTTGTTTAAATAAACTTATGCACGATTTTGAGCTTTTTTCCCAGATGTTGGCCTTCTAAAGCTAGATCTACACACAACCCGGCCGGTCCAGCATTGACACACAAAAAAAACTAAGACAGAATTACATCAATGCTTGAAAGTTATCTATTTTCCATTTACAATCAGGTCCAGTGCGTCATTCATTAACCTCATGGAAGCTGTTTGTCACGTCTCCTTATCAAGGACCTGGTGAGGGACCACTGGAGCTGTCTGTCTGCCAGGCACAACAAAAAACACCCACACCTTATAGGCGTCACTGACTCAGCCTGACTTGTGTGTGTCCTCCCAGTTCTCAAACACATTAACGAGTCGCCCAGGTGAGTGTGTGGCCTCTGATGGCCATATGGGAGGTGCCACAAGGAGGCAGGGATGGAGAGAGAGACAGAGAGAGAGAGAGAGAGGGAGGGGGATAAAGCAGGTAGAGACCATGGTAAAACACCCAGAGTGTGTGTGTGTGTGTGCGTGTGTGTGTGAAGTAAAGAGAGAGAGAGAACAAGGTGCAGAGGGACGACCAAAGCCTCCATCAGACACCTGTCAGAGCAGGTGGAGAGTCAAGTGCAGGATACCTGAAGCTCCAGGTCTCTGGAGGACTCATCTTTAACGCTGTGGAGTGTTTTCCCATCAACATTTTGCCCAGTTGTGTTTTACTTAGTATTTGCACCATTCAGGATTCAGTCTCTCTGCTGCCACCAGCCAATGTGAGGACTCCAGGTGTTTTCTGAGGACTGTCGGAGGAGGAAAATCTCCCAATTCAAGCTTTTACGGTGAGACTCAGTCCCACTCTAAAGGGGTTTTGTTGTTGGTGCCGCTGTTGCTGAGACATCCTCCAGCTTTAAGCAACGGGCTCATGGCAGACTTCCCATCCAAGGTTTCCACGGAGACCAGCGTCTCCCAGCCCCACAGCTCCCAGCCGGCAAGGATGGCCGGCCCCATCACCGTCCAGTTGGACGTGTCCTTCATCAAAAGCATCCCGGGCATCCTCATGGTGGTTGAGATGGTACGTAGCACTGCTCACGGCTGTGTCTTCACTCACACAAACTCCTGTTGTTTTCTATTCTGCTCTGTCTCTGCTCAAGTCTCTTTTTTAAGGGTTTCCACATACATTCCTGAAACAGCTGACACTGTGGGTTTTAGCAAGTGACTACAAAACAGAAACAAGCTGTGCATTTGTGCAGTCCAGCTGTGGAAGGATGCACAGTCGGTGCAGGATCATGCATGTGGCATTGGTTCGACATAAACTCCAGCACCCATGTTTGTGTCACTTAGTGCATTCTAACAGTTTTAGACAAGAGTGGAGCTTTAGGGCACAGAGGAATGAGCAAATTAGGCTTTGGCTGCATAGAGCAGTACTGTGGGATCACTTCATTACTGGTTTTAGTGTTTTTATGTCAGATAGAAGTGATCATTTATTATTTTTTAAAGTCTCTGATTTGAGAGTCATGATGTCATATTTCACCCTGACAACACCAAAAAGCTGAATAACCGGTGAGAACATATTGCAGGTAATTAATAGTCAGCATCATACAGACAAGGCTGCTAAATACAGACCTGGCTATGCAGTAATGAGGACGAGTTGAACGGAAACCCCACGGTGTCGTAAATTTTACTGTCAGCAATACAGCAGCCATAGATAACGATATAAAGATGTTTGTGTATCTGTGCTGCAGGTCAGCTTCAATTCATGCACCATAAATGTCAGTGGTTATCTACAAACAACAACATGACTGGCACTGACTGACGCTGTTCAGATTAGCTGCATACATCCACAGACCTGCACTGTCACTCCCAGTCAGGTCAGGAGAACCGATAAGGCTTGTGTATTCTTGTGAGACTGATTTTAATGTTGAGAGGTATCGGCGCTGATCAGGGGAGCAGTAATGTGCCTCAGCTCAATTTGTTCCACCTATCAGAGATGTGTTTGTACAAAACTGTGTCCAAACAGAGGATATGTGACTCGCTGGATGACTGACACGAGATCTTTGTCCACTGAAGGCCTCTGTCACATATCTCCTCCATTATTTCACAGCAGCCACAGAAGCTACAGCTCTGCCTCTGAGGACAGACGAGCCGCTGTTAATGTTCACTCTGACTGTTAAACATTTGTCACCTCTCCGTGCTAATGAATGGCAGACTTTATAGGTGTTGTAGTAGTCAGTCCAGCTGGTAGAGCTCAGGTGTGGCAGGTAAGCCTGAAGATAAGGAAAAGGCAGAGCTCTGTGCCCTTTATTTAATCACACTGAGAAAATCGACTTTTTTTTAACATGTTTCAACATTTACCTTGCAAATGACAGACGACGTCTTTTAAGCCTCAATATTCAAGAGAATTAGCAGCAACTTTGGCTTATATTGAGTGTTTCTAACAAGTAGCATGAATAAATCCTCCTGCAGCCCGGTGTGTCGTGGCTTCATTTAGTGTTCAGCGTACCAACAAGATTGTGACTCAATAAAAGTGAGCTGGTGTGTTTTGTTGCTGCAGTGACAGATGAGACGTTCAGTTGGGCAATGTTTATATTGCTAGAATTACTCTGTCCAAAGGTTCATAAGACGTGAGCAGTGTGTCACGATAGTGAACCAGAGTTACTAAGTAAGTTTAATAGCCATAAACCGCAGCTCAGGGACTTTTGGTTGAACTGCTCTTTGAATCTGCATTATGTGTATACTACATATGCCTTGTGGGGCATTTACCATGAATACAATACTTTACAATAACTTCCCAGGTCTGAGATAAATAAAGTATACTCTGCTCTATTCTATTCTATTCTAAGACATGCTTTTTTACACACAGTGTTACTACAAAGGAAAATTAACATTAATTTGGAGCCATATTTTCAACCGACAGACTAATAAAAGTCCAATTTTCAACCTGCTTTTAGCTCTGTTTTGGTCTCCACCAATCTGCCCCTTTACCCACTGAGTGCATCCCCATGTCCACCAGTAGCAACAGATGCTTTCAGTGCCTGATGTGTAAAACTAGCATTAAGCGTCTTTGCCATGTCCACCATGTCAGAATTTGAATTGAGACTAAATACTACAGTGAATAAATATCAGGTGAGAACATACTGATTGGGTGATTCTAAATTGTCCGTAGGTGTGAATGTGAGTGTGCGTGGTTGTCTGTCTCTAAGTGTGGCCCTGTGATAGACTGGTTACCTGTCCAGGTGTCCCCTGCCTTTGCCCTAAGTCGGCTGGGATAGGCTCCAGCCCCCCACGACCCTAGTGAGGATTAAGCGGAGTATAGATGATGGATGGAACATACTGGCTGTGATTATCCAAACCTGAAAGAATCTGAACCCTGAACACACCACGTAACACACAGGAGGAGTGTAAATGTCGCGCTCAGGGAGTCTGAATTGAATAAATATTGGTTAAAAGCCACACTGTCACCAATCAGGGTGACTGTAAGTGAATCCAGCGCAGAAGTAACTCAAATCTGAATTCTTTCTAATGACCAGCAAAAAGAAGTTCAGCTGTATAGAAGTCTGCTGGACAATGACCCTGTTTCACTCTTGATCCGTTACCTCAGTCAGCCTTTTATTAAAAGGAGTTTTTTTGGTCTGAACCAGTAGCTCTAAGCCTCCCTCAGCACAGCATGGTGTTCATTTTGTAAATTATGGTCCCATTTTGAGTAAAACAGGCACTGAAGCAGCTCATAGGGCTCCTTCGCTACGACCACTGTGTTGGTCTTGATGCATCTGGTTTAGAAAGAACAAACTGGGGACAATCAAATTCCAAACTGACTCCATATTGGTTCAGTTTGGTTTCTATTTGATGTAAAACCAATTTAATTTAAATATCCCAACATCACAAATGTACCATCTGTGTAAAACGCAGGACCCATAAATTTCCTGGGAGGACGTCACAAAGCTTCCAGGTGCTGCCAAACTACAGACTGTATATAAAACATGGATGCAGTGGTTGTACTTACTGGTATGTATACTATCATTTTAAAGCCTTGGGTTTAGCATTTGGCTGCTGCCATCTTGGTCTTTTAAACCCAGATGTAACTACCGAGCTGTGGATCTGGATCTGACTGGAGAACCTGAACACATGGTGACGCTGCACCAACCGGTTAAGGTGGCCTCGCACTGGAACATATGCTGCATTATCATCACTTTTACTCTAAATGGAGCCATAAATTACCAAGTAAATAGCATGCTGCCAACAAATAGTGTTAAAACCAGCAAACTGAGTCCATAAAACTCACGAGGAAAGTGTTTGTTTAAATCACAGGAGAAGTGGTGCTGTTTTCTAATAGACGTCTACACATTCAGACTTCATCCTGCTACCAGAAGAGTCGCCGCCTTCTGACTTCCACGTTGGCTTCACTTTTCTTTTATAGACAGTTTATGTGCCAAACAGAAAAGACTTCAGTCACATGACGTCCTTATCACCGTGAAGATCATCAAAGAAGGTTACAAAGACAGCACAGCTTTCACACCTACAGGAAAGGAATGAGAGTTTCTTAAATGTCTTTGCTCATGTAGTTGTAACACCTGCATTAACTTTCCATCCTCTCTGAGCTCCCTGTGGGCAAGTTTCAGTGGAGTAAACGAGTAAATTACAGCACCATTTTATTAGACAGCAGTCATCCCGTTCCTTCCCAAAAGCTGTTCATTTGCATAATTTAACCAAATCCAAGAATTTCCTGTTGCTGATTCAGTGGGTGGGCGGCATCATCATCCATCTTCCTAAACCTCAATAGCAGCAACACAAAAAGACCAAATGAGTAAAAGAAAAAGAGGCGCTACATCCCTGCATTCATTCATCTGTGGTCAGTGTTTAATTTTTAGCAGATAGTCTCCTGTTTCTAGCTCCTTATGCACTATTAATAAATGATACGCCCAGCATACTCCATTATAAAATACACCTGCATAATATATAAACAGTCCCAGCGTAGAGCGCACAGTTTACCTTCATGCTTAAACAAGGATCAAAATCTCCTCATCACACAGACTGGTCATCTAATTTAACCCATTTACTTTATCTTAAAACTGCTTTACCCATTAAGCAATCAAAATTAGGGGCCACAAGATCATTCCTCTCTGTACGTTGTTTGGTTGTTAGGATCATGATGTCATTTTACAGTTTCAGCCAGAACTTTCACTTATTTTCTGTCCCTCCGGTTCAGAACAGACATCCTTGTTAAGACGGGGGCTTTGGAAAGGTCAGCTTTTCAGAGCCAGTGTGTGCATGCATGTGTATCAGGTGTGTAAAAAGTGAAACGTGATCGCCGCATACACAATGGACTGTCCTTTCATGTCCTGTCTCGTGGGAATGAAGCAGAGAGACAAAAAGAAGAGCCCTGTGTGGGTGACGCTTTCAGTCATAAATGTGCAGCAAGCAAACACGACATTCACTGAGAGATTCTGTCATTGGGGTTTGTAGGAAATGTGGTTGTGCTTAAAGGATAGGTGTGCATTTTTAGCCAAGTTTGCAGCGTGTGTGTAGATCAGTCAGTCTGACACGTTGGTCCAGATGCAAATATCTAAACAACTACGGGACTAAACATTGATGGTCCCCAGTGGGTGAAACCAACTGCGACGTTTTACGGCTTGAGCTCCATCCGTCAGTGACAAAACTCCAAAATTACATAATTCCTTCCACAAACACTTTGAAAATTATGAGGAAGAAGAAGCACTAAGGGAAGGAGAGCACTGGTGCTCGCTCACCGACGTGGCTCAGCAAAGAAACACTTAGTGGGGAAATACAGAGAATCGTAGTATTTTTATAATAACTGAGAATCAAATATCATTTAAACCCTGTGTGATGTAAAACAGGTTATTCCCATCACAAGGCTGTAGCACCTAAAGATGTTGAAGGATACAAACACAAAACTAAAACAGAGAAAATATTACATTTACAGTTGGCCAGAGATTCAGTGTCTGAGGTGAAGGGGATCCAGTTGTCATTTCAGTACTCGTCTACAATAATTAACTAATAATGTTTAAAATGTCCTCATGCTTGAACCCTCTCCATCTACTCTGTGGTGTGTCTTGTCCTCTCTGCAGCTCCTGGGGTTGATCCAGTGGGCCCTGATAGCCAGCGTCAACTACGGATGGGCGCCAGCCTTCATCTGGGTGATGTTTGTGGCCGTCGGCCTATGGATCACCACCACCATCCTCTACGTCATGACGCTGTTCAGCATCCAACAAAGACTAACGGGTCTCCCGTGGCCCATACTGGTAGGAAGAGAAGTTAAATAACTACTTTTCAAAACAACCAGAAGTGTAAACTGAATCACTTGTTCGGTCGTCTTATGTAGTTTATTCTTGGATTTAATTGATCAATTCCTACCACATAACCACGTAAAACTTGATTTCTAGCATTTAGTGCAGCAACATTTGAAGTCAAAGTTTCGAAATTTAATATGAAAAGAGTTTATTTAAGAGTCCATCACTGGTAGTAAAATGGTAGTACAATGTGTTTTTCAGGCTTTTAAAATGATGGTATTCCTTCCTCGTCTTCCTGTGTAGTTAATGTTAGGTACAAAAGACCAACTCTGATGACAAAAAGGACTGTTGTGTTCAGGCCATTGGACATTAATGTATGATTGTATGCTGTGTGTGACTCGGTTGTTTTCATTGTATTCAGTGCAGCTATAATGTCACACAACAAAGAAGTATACGTCAGTATATCTCATCCTACAACACCTCGGCTGTCTCTTACAGGCAACTTTTAGGACATTTTTTCATTTAATGTATTTGAGAAATGGTGCATAAACAAGAAGAGGGCAACAGGATTTAGACTGAAGCATGATCATCTGAGGTTTGATCTCATGACAACACGCTGAGGAAAGGTGGCCGCTAGATCATCTGGGGTCAGTGGTTGAAAGAGAAAGACAGTAAACAAGGAAACATCAGTGGGTAACGTTTCTCCCCCTCTGCTAGGTGATGGTCTACAACGGCGTCGCCACGGTCCTCTACTTCATCGCCTTCGTGGTCAACGCAGCTTTTGTGAATGGTTTCTTATGGGCCGCTTATTCACACATGGCAGCTGCTGCCGTAAGACGCCCAACACCACTCACACTTACAAAGAACTGGTCAAACACTCAAGAAACACTCAGTGAGCGACATCTGATAACACGTCTGCAAAGTCCCTGTGTGGGGAGACAACACTTAGAGAAGAAACTCATTCATAGCTGCTGTTTCTAGATGTGCTTCTGATGCCACAGTTACTTATCAAGTTGCAGCACACACCTTAAAATATGAGACAGGCAGAGTAGATGGAAAACTCACTAAGCTGCGAAGGAGGTCCTGTGGCTGAAGTCCAGTTAACTTTGTGCTGAAGCTGCCACTCCCCTTCACCAGTCTGCTGTAAACACATCAGGACTGAGTCACGCACACAGAAAGGACTTCAAGATAAAGAGAGAAAGAGTGAGCTGGATGCAGGTTAGCAGATGGAAACTAAACATCACCGTTGTTTTTTACAGTCCCTTCAGCAGGTTGAAGTCCACCCTGGTTTACAGCTCTAGTAGCATTTAGCACATGACCACACTCACAGCAGACCCCTGACCCGTCTCATATCACACTCTTATCAGTTTACTGCCTCTGGGGCACCAGCCAAGCAGCATTAACATTTTTCTGAAGATAATGACCCGTTAACACACTGCCAAAGCTGTTCAATCACAAGCAATCTGTAATCTTTATAGACGTGAATACATGAAGATGTGAATGTATCAGTGATTTATGGCGGCTCTTGAAGATTTCAGACCTTTGCTCTGCTTCTTAAAGTCACTGAAGCTGTGTAACTGTCGTCTGTCCAGGCCTTTGGTGCTTTCGTGACCTTGGCGTACGGTGCCAGCACTTTCTTCTCCTTTCTGTCCTGGAGGGAAGACGGAGGAAGCCCACCCACCACCACAGTGCCGACCTAAGACTGTGAAACCTGTGACACTGCTCCAGTGTCGGTACACAACTCGTAACATCACTTGCCCATGACTGCTGACTCCGGAAACTCAAATCATGACCACGAATCCCAGTATTAACAATAAGATTAAACCTGCTCAGTCAATCTTTAGGATCAATACAAGGGCCTCTGGTAGAACATCGTGAGGCCTCCACCTCAGAGCTTCCTGCAATAATACATTCATTAACCTGAGATTGTCTTCAAACTACTCAGTAAATGTCTCACTATGCACATACAGTAATAGTTTGACATTTTGGGACACTTCCAACATTCACATTCTTGCTGTGATAAATACGAAGCTACTGAAGGAAGCCCTTTAGCTTAGCTTAGCTTAGCTTAGCTTAGCATGAACACTGGACTAGCAGACGCAAAATCCTCTCATAATAAAGCCACTCTAACATGGACATTTTTCAGACAGACAGACGGACGGATATCTTCTCTTGCAGAAACCAATCTGTGTCAACAACATGCCAAATAGCAGATTAACACATTCAGTCATTTCATTGTTTCTGGCAAACTTTAAATTACAGACACCAATAATATTATAATATCTAATTGTAGTGTTAAACACAGCAGACACAGAGGCCTCAATGTGCTGCTGAAGTGTTGCAGCAAGTTACGCTGTGAACTTGTAACTGCAAACACAACCAAGTGTAATGAAACTGTTTAGACATTGTCTGTTCTTCATGTTCACGCGGGTTCACTTTTTTTTTTTTTTTTTTTTCAAATATGCACCTTAGAAGCTGTTTGGGAAAAAAAATCTCCATTTCAGTGACATAAAATGCTGTTTGCATGCAGACGAGAGGAGGAAAACCTTCATTTAGCAAAATATCCGCCTTAGCACAGACATGAACTAACTTTGTGTGGCAACCAGTTGCAGAGACGTCCTGACGTCTTGTCAAGGCAAGAAAACTACCCTCCGTAACTGTGCTAATGTAGCTGCAGAGGGGCTGGTAGGCTCATTCTGTTACCTCTGGGCATACACAGGGTAGCTGCTTCCTCCCGTTTACAGTCTTCATGCTAAGCTAACCGTCTGCTGGCTGCAGATTAATAATTGAAAGTACAAGTGAGAATGGTGTCAGGCTTGTCTTTAAACTCTTGGCAAGAAGACATGAGTGCATTTCCCAAAATGTGTAACTATTCTGTTCAAGGATGCTCAACTAAGTCTCAAGACTTTAATATTTTTTTTAAAAACTGCCAAGAAAAATACAAGAAGGGTCCTGACGTTAATATGTTTGTGAGTGCAAAAGTCTCACAATAATCTCCCAGTGGAATTTTTCTAAAATAGAACATTTTCAAAGATAATCAAATATTTCAATTTGCAGGAATTAAATGTGGTTCAAATTACTGAAGAGAAATGAAATCACGCACCACAAAGTGTGAACTGTTGATGTTTCCTGGTGGGCTTTAGAGGAACCACGATCAAACCCAACCCCAAAGTGACAAGAGCTCATTTAAAACTTTACAGCATCGTTCACGGGGACACTGTCGCAGTGCTTTACTACATGTCCACGGTTTCATGAAAAAACAATCATTGAAGTTTGTTTTGTATTTTGTTGTTTTCAGGAGCCTTATAGAGTATTTTATTTGTAACAAATAGTGAATTCTCAGACAAAAGCATCTCTGACTGAAATCCCATTATTCCCAACAGACTGCAAAACAATTATACATACGCACATTAAAAATATTTTTTTTATGTGATTGACTGTGAAGTTTGCATTGTAATCCTGAAATTGACAATAGAGACCTTTCTACAGGACATGAATGGCTTCTTTCCATAATCCTACTATTGTTCCAGTAGTAAGCACTCATGTTTGTGAATGATATGAAACGCTGTTCAGCTCCTGTTGTGCTGTACGTGCCTTTATGCGACATGTTGTCTTTTGTACCAAGAACTTGAACGCGACTGAAGTCCTGTGGTGAGTGCTGGGCCTCAACCGTGCACTTCTAATAAAGCTCTTACTGATTTCAAAATAAGGCTTTTTTTACTTGTTTATTTGAAAATATCTTTTCATACGAACAAATGTGACAATTCACCAAAACTGTCATAATAAAACATGTAGAAAACACTTCAACATCGCACTGAAACTAACTGCAGACGTGCACGAGTGCACACCATCACTATGTACATTAACAACTCAATGTGATGAGTTTTCAAACTGGCCAAATAATTTAAATATTCTTAAAACATATATTAGGTCTACAAAGTTATTTTCTCGTGAAAAAAACACCAGGCAAAGAGAGAAGATTCAGAACATTCAGTCGTAGCTAATGCAGAAACCAGCACATCAAACACAGGAGCATTCACCATCAGGCTAAATGTGTGCACAGACAGTGGATTAATGGGGAGAGGATCCTAAAGTTAACACTTTTCTGAAGGCCAAAGAACAAAACTTTACATCCACATATGGAAGAAAAAAAAGAGGCAATTCAAGTGCCTGATGTGTGAGTGTGTGAGCGTCATTTAGTGCAGCTGTTGTTCTTGGAGTCTCCAGGGATCAGAGACTTGACCAGCAGTCCTTCACCCAGGTCCACACCTCGGCCCTCCTTCGTCTGGAAACACACAGATTCATACAGGCAGCGTCATCAAACAGTACTTCCTACACACACACACACACACACACACACACACACACACAGTTCCAGTGTAATGTTTTGAACTGTTTGTCCACTGAGAGCCAACTGAGCACCTTGATTTGCTACCAGTCTGCAGGCACATAGAACCAGCAGACACTGGGCTCAGACATCTGTGTTAAAGCTCTCAGTAAAGAAACAGGAGCACTAATCGGCTGTTTTAGATGCATCAGTTAACCCACGGATTCATATGAGCTTGGAAACACAGTGCCGTGGACAGTAATTAGGAAAATGAGCACACAGAGACTAGTTTACTGAAACACAGAGAAGACTCAGTTGTAGAGATTTAAACAGAGACAGCTTACAGCTCTGTAATCCACAAACATCTCCTTGAAGGCCATGAAGTCTGTGAACGTCAGCAACATGTCAAAGATGTCCCCTGTCACCTCCTCTTTGCGCTGCCTGCACACAAAGGGAGCACATCACATTTTCAATGTACGTGAGTGCCACCTTGTGGTCTGTTGAAAAAAAGTTCTATGGAGCAACAGGTGGATTAAACAGAAAGCTATAGAGCCGATGTTTGTTGTCACATCTTACATGAGTAGTTCTATGAAGTTGTCCATGTTGAAGCCGGGGATCCTCTCCATCAGCTGCTGCTCCAAGTATTTCTCCAGCTGGTCAACCTACACAAAGGCCATGATTGGGAAGAAGTTACTTGTACTGTAGGTAACGGGCCTCGCTGCTGTTATAGACGTGATACTGGACCACAGTGAGACGTCCAGGAACTCACATATTCACGGAAGATGGGCGTGTAGCTGAGCTTGTTCTCGTCAGAATCATCAAACTCCTGGTAGTGTTTATCCATGAAGCTCTGCTGAAGCTGCTGAAACTCATCATCTAAACACACAACATAAATACGTTGAACATTCTCTGGCTTCGCTGCTCATTGTTGAAACACTGAAGGTTTCTCTGCATCCAGCTGACCTGCTGCCTCCCTTGTTTTCAGTACTTTTCTATGTCGTGCATTTCGCCGTGGAATGAATCGTAGTGTTGCCCTTACTGGCCTCACAAACCTGCATGTCTTGGATTCATACTTGTTGACACTCTTCTAACACGACTGACTCAACGGTTTAAAGCACTGGTGTTTGTTGTCCCAAAAGACATTTTAATTTTCTATGAAAATTTCTCATTCATTGTCCATATTCATTCATTTTTAAAGCAAGGCTGGCAATGTATGTTTAAAACACAAAACAACCACTTTATTTATCTTTTCATTCAGTTTGACAAACAGCACGATCAAAACTCTCTATGATGTTTTTAAAAAGCAGCGAAACGGATCCTACCCAGGATGATGTCCTCGATACAGCCAACAACACTGTCGAAGGCTGTGTCTGCAGAAGAGTAGCTGGAGGGAGAACAACAACAGAGACAGCATCACAAACTGTATGAGCCTGGCTCCTGTTCTGTCAAAGCATAAAGTATGACTACAGTACACCAATTCTACTGTCTCTCACTCCAGACTTTACACATGGAGAGGCTGCAGAAAATTATCATGTTCATTGTCAATAATCTATCGACTGTTTTCTTCAGCAACAGATTTGTTTACTGATCCATAAATGATCAGATGATGGTGATCAAAGGTCCTTGTGACTGGAGTTAACTCTTTAATAAATCAGTGCAGAGGCGATGCTTGTGTCCAGGAATTGACTTTTTCTAATATGTTTGATTCCTGAAGGATCTGATTCCCTGTATCACTAAGGAGGCCAAGCAAGTAGTGAGTGTGTGTTGTCGTACATTCATTAGTTATGTCCACAACACAAAGATGTTCAGTTTTCACAGGACTGCCACAGACAGGCCTTTCATGACCACACAGCTTGTCCATTTAAATATCTGTCTTTACTTTGAACTAAACCACTGGGTCTGACTGGAGAAGGTTGAAATGCTGCGACAGAATCAGGAAATGAGACACCTGAGTTCCATCCTGAAACCTGTTCAATAAGTGCTGGTCCTGCAGTAAAAAGCCTCGCTCTCTGGCTGACTCTGGGTTTCCTGAAGGGCTCGGAAAGCAGCTGGGAACAACCCACCTGGAAATAGCAAAGTCTTCTTCGTCTGTATCAGCCATTTCTATGATGTTCTCTGCACAGCTGTGGACGCCTGGAGGAGAGGAGAGGAGAGGAGAGGAGAGGAGAGGCAGCACAGGTGTTTAAAAACGTCACGGTGAGATGAAGCAGCTGGTTGGGAAACACTAACTGACAGACAAGGTGGTTTTAAAGACGAGCTGCCCGTGAGACCTGACTGGTTCTGCTCGTTACTCTACATTAACGTTACTTGAAGCGGCCCGTGAGACCTGACTGGTTCTGCTCGTTACTCAACAGTAACGTTACTTGGTTAGCTGCCAAGTGAACGTTTGCTAACGTTAGCGGACCTTCAACGTGTTTAACTTCATCCGTTTCGTGTTTTTCAGAGTTTAAAGTACTTACATAATTCACAAGCCGCATTAATGTCATTTAAAGTAATTTAATTCACCTACTTCGCTCCTGAACGTACATGTTGCTTAAATCGTTGGTAATCAGCGAACGTAATGTTGTTGCCAAGGAAACGGCGAATCTACGTGCACCCGCTAATCCTGTCCGGTCGGACAAATCACATGGCTGTTGGTTCCTACCTGTTGGTTCCTACCTGGGATCGTGTGTTGTAGGTGCAGTTGGGCCCAAACACATTCACTCCTCTGCCAAATTCTGATTTATGATGAACTTGTATTTGACAAGCAGATTATTATTATTTTTATTATTTTTGGCTGGGAATGATATCACCAAGTGATAACAAATAACACAGTGTGTGACACTTGTTAATGATATATTTAAACTAATCCTGCTTTATTCAACCTTTGTACTACAAATGCAATGTCTGAAACGATTCATATCTGTAAAATGGGTACCTACTGAGAGAATCCAGCTTCTATACCACTTCCACCATGTTCTACAGCATCCTGTGGCGAAACATTTAGAAAGGCTGATTAAAAGCATTCTAGACAGTCAGGAGTCCAGTCTTGAATAAACTCAAGATCCTAGTGAGCTCCTTATTCACAGAGAGAAAGCCTATAAGTGTTCTCAAGTACCAGAGACCACAGAGCAACACATATTCAAAAAGTACAAGAAGTTCCACACTGTGAAAACTCTTAAATTGCACGGTAACAAGTCCAAAGTGACCCTGACACTGGCAGGAATGGTAGCACAAAGAGGCCAAGAAGAATCCAAGGATCACTACCAAGACATGAGCAATCCCAGTACCAACATCTCAGTGCAGACACTGAACAAGGCTGATTTCTACAGACGCCAACCAAGGAGGACCCACTTCTCTAGAGAGGCACACAAAAGCTCACCTGGACAAAAAAAAAGGCTTTTCTTCATCAGTTCTTTGGTGCGACGAGATGAAAATGATCATGTTTGGACACAGACAAGCAGCTTTTGTTTGGTAAAAGAAAATAAAAGACAAAGCATTCAGTCCCAAAACCACCATCACCACAGTGAAACATAGTGGTGGGAACGTGATGCTTTGGAGGAGTTTTCAGCCAATGGACCAAGTAAGCTCATCAAAGCAAACACCATCACAACAACAGAGGACTGCATTTACATTCTAGAGGGAAACATCAGAAAAACTCAGCTCTGAGCAGCACTGGATCTTCCAACAAGACAGTGATGTGGGAAATAGAGCCGAAGTGGCGAGAAAAGGTGAAAATCAAACAATATCATCATTTTGATATGGAACAAAAATACAGTTGTATCTGCAGAAGGAACTGAAGGCCTGGAAGCCTTCAAATGTTACTTCAAAAGGGTATTATTAATCTCTGATGCAGCACTGTCACAAGCAGAATATCTTGCCATCTTTTCTTTAGCCACTCTATTACTAACAGTTGTTCTTGTTTTATCTGTATTTGTTGCATCTTAATATGTTGTGATTGGCTGCTACCTTGATCAGGTCCCTCTTGTAAAATAGATTTTGAATCTTAATGGGACTTCCTGGTTAAATAAACGTTAAAATTAGTCAAACATGTATTGACTATAAACTTTGGCATGGGTATGAACCATCTGGGGCCTACCTGTATTTAACAAAAACAGCATGAAACTAATTCAAACCTGCACTGAGCTTGCTGCTTAGTTTCAAAGTTAGAGATTCATCTACAAATATAATTATTAACAAATCTTTCTCACACAGTTGAGGTATCTGCCTCGGTTATTTCAGGCATGTGTGTCTGTGTTAATAGATGTACATCTTTTGTTTATAGGGGAAAAAGTTCAAATTGTCATCACTTCTGTCGGTGAGGCGTAGGGGACTAACAGTTGTAGGTTTAGCAGCTTTGCTGTGTGGAAAAAGCACCAGCCAGTCATGCGAAATGATCACATGTACATACATTTATTACAAATATCACAATCCAGGAAACAACAATTCTTCAATAAATCACATCTTTGGGAACTCTGGGGCAAATTTCCTTTATAGATGTTTTAAATACAACTCACAATTTATTCTTTACAGTCCTGAATTTTATCTCCAATCACAGAGACAGCTCATCTCTCACCTGCATGTATAAGGTGCTCCAGGAATACACGGTAACAAACACTGACCAGACCAGCCTCCTGTCATACTGAGAGACGCATGTTCTCATCAGAAACCACTCTAGTACAGTCTGAATGATTTACTGAGTCTGTTCATGCAATTTGGTGGAGTAGGAACTCTTTCATAAACAATTTGACCAAGATAAATTAATCATAAATTATTCAGTGTTATAATTTGAAATGCTACTGAATTTTTTTTAAAATTGTACAAACAATTTTTCTTAAATCACAACCTCTCGTACATCAAATTCGTCACCTGTTTCCAAAACACAAACGTCGTTCAATCAACCCAGAGATGCTTCAAGTAAAGGATGAGACAGAAAGACAGACAGAGAACACCAGGTAGGAGACAGAGGCAGGAGGATGCAGAAACAGCAACATGAGAGCACATGTCCTGTTGCACAGATGGCAAAGAGGGAAACCACGTTTTACTCTGTAGTCTGACCCGTCGACCGGAAAATACACTTTGGACAAACTTTGTTTTGACGAGATCAATTATGTATGCAAGAAATCCCACAACGACTGCTATGATCTGTAGCAGGTGAAACATGATTACGATACTAAAGCCCACACTAGGTCATGTCCTGTGCTGTGGGTAGTGTTTTTCTAATTTATCTCAAGTGTCTCACTGGCAAATCAGATCAGAAATCACACCGTCGCAAGAATGACCTGTGAAAACTGATCCAGGAAAAACAATTCACTTTAACATCTCACATTTGCTTCAAACAATTTACTGCGCAGCTCATAAAACACTGTCAAATCAACAAAACCGTCGTACTTTCAGGCAACATCAGTGTTCACACTCATTTATTACACAAAATTAAATCACATCTTGTGGATTAAAAATTGTTTGCAATCACAAACAACAACTAAGACATCGGTACTTGTGCGGCCCCTCAGATGAGCCCAACTCGTTTGTGGAGCGACTTTAGAAATTGTTGCCAAACCGTTAGCATCGATTAAGAAATGCCAGACGAATTCAGAAGGTAGTGGTGGTCATTGGTTCTCCAAAGTATGAATCTATATTTGAGGGAAAAACATTTGGCTTTGTCTGTACAAAACATCTCATTAACTTTCAACCCCTGTGTTCTGTGGTTGCTTCATACATGAAGGAGACTGAAGAAAGATCTGAGCAAAGACAATGAAGCACAAACAACAGCAGGGTCAGAAAACCATCAGCTCTAATACAGACTGTAGTGCGTTTACCTTTTACTGGCTGTAAAACACGAGTTATGTCCTGAACTTTCTTCCTTGCCTGACAGCTGATTGATTTTGAACAGTTTTATAAACTGAATCAGAAAACTGAACTCACAGAATTTTTAAGTTTTCTGACACCAAAACCTGATATTTTACCCGACAATTTATTTTTCCAATGACGAACCCCAGTAGTGGGCGATGGATCAGTACAGACAGCAAAGCTGCCCAAAGCAAAGGTGTTGGAAACGAGAATGAAGATGCTACTTTGAAAAAAACTATTCGCATATCTATAGCCGAAAACAAGAACGTGAGACACATCTCAAATTTATCTGTACCTTGGGTTTAATACTGGACGACAGGCTGCTCAGCCCCGTCAGATCTGCAGACATGTGCATGACGGTGATGGGATTAAATAGTAGTAGCCTCTGGACTGAAAGCCAAGTGGGATCCTCATGTCTGATGACATTATACAGGGGTGTGCAGATGAGAAGTTGGTTCTGTCTGTAATCTGACTAAATTGTCTGTGCTCCTCGCTTCTGCTCTTGAAAAATGCATTGTTTGTAGAAAGTTGATGATACTTGGCCCAGCTTCTGCAATGACTTGTCAGAAGGATACAAAAGAGGAGACGTAAGTAAATGAGGAAAAGCTTCCGGGGATCCAGCTGTGGTTGAATTCCCCCTCCTCTTATCTCCTCTCTGTCTTGTCGCCAGCCCTCCATCGCCGCCTCCTCGGACCAGAACCCACAGTTCTGGCATCGTCACAACATTGTGGCATCGTCCTCGCAGCCCCGATGGGTGAGAGGGGATTAGAGGAGGAGGAGGAGGCTGTGGGGCTTGTGTGTCTCTCATGATTGGAGGAAGGGCAGGAAGTGTGTCAGGAGACATGTGCAATGAGTCTGACGCGGGTCTGGATGTCTTGGCGACACAACGGGCACGTCTCTAACTGTAAGGCACACTCCATACACATACCACTGGAAGGAAAACACAGGAGAACATCATCATCCACTCACAGAAAAGGGCAGCTAAATAACAGATCAGCTGCTATTGAAATCCTTATATACACATATTTTTAACAATATCCTAGTTTAAAGTGATGAGTCTACCACATGCAGACATACCCATGTCCACAAGGCCGTAGCTCTGTGTCCGCCATGACGTCACAACACAGCGTGCAGCAGTTGTCCCGGATGCTAACCTGCTTCAGTAAGGCCAGACGTCGGTGTCTGGAAAACACACAAGCAGATAAATGATCACAGCAAAGACTGAGAGATTGTACATGTCTGTAACAAGTACATGTGTTTATTTCAAGTCTGTTGGAACAAAGTTTTCCTGAAATTCTTTTTGTTTTCCTGTTAAAAGATTCCTGACTAAGGACACAATCATTCATCAGTGGAAGTTAATTAAATTAAGTTTTGATCTTCCAGAGGTACACTCCTTCTTTGTTTCTGTGCTGAACAGCTTCTGTTTTTGCACAAAAGAAAAAATATGCAGAAATGGAAGCAGTAAGAAAGCACCTATTCAGGATCAGTATGAACAGAAGGAATGATTACAGCAAGCAGAAGTGTCTCAGTGTACACAGATACCCAACTATTAACTACAAACCAGTTTTATTAATGTAAACCAGTGTTACAGCAAGAATTACAGGATTTCAGAACTTAGCTTTCTAAGGTTCACTCACACACAGTTTGACAGCGCCATGGAGTAAATGCAAAATACACACATTGGGGCAGTTTCTTTTTAGGATTGTATGCTATGTAGATCTTTGAAGGACCAACATGGTGGCCAGTTAACTGAGCAAAGAGCCCATTTTGAAGGTGAGGTCATCTTTTGCATTCGTAAAAACGAGGATGCATTTGAGTATTGTCAGACATTAACTGTCCTGTTAGCACCAATTCACCATCATGTTTGTCTGTGAAGATTCTCAGTCCTCTAGGTCATGGTTATTCTAGGAGATTAATCGTAGCAACTGGACTTGTTTGAGTTCCTTTGAAGCCGTTCCACCTCTCATCCAAGAGGCATCAGTTCTGACTGACTTAGTTGCTCCTCCCCCTTGCATAACGAGGAAGAGGAGCAGCAAACCCCCAGTTGAAAACGAAACTCAGGTGTTAATGGCTCCTTAAGGATATCTGGAACTCCCAACTAGTCAGAACTGATGAAGCCTCTTGGATGAGAGGTGAAACATCTTCAAGGAACGCAAGCAAGTCCAGCTGCTACGATTAAACTACGAGAATAACCATCATGTTTATGGATCTAAAAGACACAGCTGTTATTTTACCAAACACCTAGCTGGTGCTGATCCAACATCCAGCTGTTAATGCCTGCTGCTGTGGGACAGCTGCTCAATACTTGATGTTGCAAATGGTGGTTTTTAGCTGCATTAGTTTCTATTGCATCAATACTCTCATTGCTTGCTCCAATTGTCCACTAAAGTATAAGCACAAGATGTTGATCAAGTAAAAATCACGTTCAATCGTTAGTGGCTGAAAACAGGAAGTGCACCTGTAAAATCCTACATCTTGTTAAATCAATAACTAAGGCAGTGTAGAATCTTGTTTAATATTTTGTCAAAACAGGTGTAATAAGCAACATAACAGGTTCATTTAATTGTGACGTTCCACTTCTAGAGTACTGTGAATGCTGAGCCACTTTACATTGAATAGAGGCATAACTAACTTGAGAAAGGTCTCATGTGTCGCAGAAAATCTGACAATAAAGACAGTTAAAAATCTGGTTAAATGTAGTCAACAAATTAACAAGCGATGAAAACATTTTATGCACACTGGAATAACCCCAAACGCTGAGTCATGTTTGTATCTCACAATACCTACGCGTTGGACGCTGTGTGCAAACAAATGATTCACTAGTCAGAGGACAGGTGGGTAAGACAACAAATTACATACTGCTTTTCCAAATTCTTACAGTATTGTCTATTTTAGGCACTACTATAAAAAAAATAAAAAATAAAAACAACAACAGCCCTTAAAGTACGAGCTTCTGTTCTTACCTCGGCAGAATGATTTTTTCACTGGGCAGCAGTGAAGCGAAGTCGTTGAAGGTGCTGAACTTGACAGAAGGAGGGTGACGGAAAGGCTTGGCCCCAAAGTTAAACTCACACTGCTGGTACGACATGAAGCTGGCTGCCGCAAAGAAACCAGACCTGGTGAAGAGACACGAAGAAAACACAGGGGGGGTCATTTATTCAAAAAAATAAATAAACAAAAGATGGAGGGAAGAAAAGAGCATGAAGGAAGGAAGGAAGGACAGAAAGAGAAGAGGAACCAGGAGGCACAAAAAAAAAAAAAAAAAAAAAAAAAAACAGAGAAAGTGACAGAAACTGAGTAAACTTACGTGGCTGATGAGAAAACCTGTTTCTCTGGCGGCAGCTGATGCCCGTTCAGATAAAATATCATCTGCTTCTTGCTGAGGTCCAACAGGAAGCCGATGGCATCTCCTAAACAGGACGCACATGCACACAGGCGGCAGATTAAAGCTTTGGCATGTTGTCGTTACCATTATCCTCCACGTGGGAGGTTAGTCAGAGCCTGAATGTTGGCAGTGACAGTAGAGTGTGGGTGCTCCAATCATAAAGCACCCCTGAGACACTAAAGACAATAAAGCAAATTCCCAAACAAATGAGGCCGACATTTAAAGCGCGTTCTCTGCTGCAGCTCAGACTGACAAAGACGCTAAAATGTCTCTAAAGTTCATGAAGCAAACCAACAGTGGTCCTGAACTATGACAGTGGGTCTACATGCGAGTCGTGCGTACCCTCCTTCCAGCAGGGGTGAGCGTGAGGTTTACTGCGAGCGTTGTACCAGATGAGCTGCCTGCAGCCATCATACGCACAAGAGTATTCGTCATCTCCTATCCCATAGCCCTCCTGAAACACACACAAACAGAAATGCATCATTATGCGACCGCAGTACGGTCAGGATAGAATGCAGCTGCAGAATCAGCAGCTTCACTGATCCCAGAAGGGAAACTGCTTTAAGGTCGAAGAGTAAAAACACTGAAGAGGAGTACATGGTTTAGGAACTTGCTGTCCTTGGTGGCCCATCCGATTTGCATCACTCCTGATGTAATGACCGTCACCTCATAGTACCAAACGCCTGAATCCACACAGAATGTACAACGCACGCTCTCAAAGGATGAGGCATCGCACCGTGCCTGAAGACAGGAGCAACAAGAAAGAGTAAACATCCAGCATCTTATGTATCTGGTATTAAAACCCTGCTGTTGGAAAGGCTGTGGCCAACATCACCACATGTACACACAGACTAACCTCTAGTCCAGTCGGGGAGATCTTTAGGTACTCGCTGACATCGTTGCTGTTCAACATGGCGTTGATGTTAGTCAGGTTGACTTTCTCGTAGGTGAACTGCCGACCCTCCTTTAGAACTAGACAGATGACGACAGGAGTACAACATCACAGTTCATTTATCAAACACATTAGGGAGACTGTGAGCCTTTTCAACATGTGATATCACACAAACACACACTGTTAAAACATGGGGCTACTCACACAGGTTGTCAAGGCTCCACTGTGAACAAAATCCAACCTGCCTCTTCAGGTAGTCAGGATGCTCTGCCCACGACTCCAGGACGGCCAGTCGATTGCTGATAGAAGACTCTGACACTGTCAGTTTGTTCTCACCTGTGGGCAGGAAGATGTAGGTGTGAGCAGGAAACACAGACTTAAATAAAGTTTAAGAAACATGAGACACTGCTTTATGTAGCGCGTGTCTACACGGGAGGCGTAGCGTTAGCAGGATGTTAACAGAGCAGTGCCAGCTTCACTGCTCTGTCTGTACCTTCAAAGGAGCTGTTTTAAGCACAGTACAGATCTGGCATGTTGACATGAAGAACACAATACACACTCAGTAAAGGAAAACTGATTTTAAGAGTCACAGGTAGAGCAGATGTAACAAGAGTCATGATGTGGCTCGTATGGGGAGCTGGACTGATTCAATCAAACAACTGAAATGGAAGCATATCTGTTCCAAAGTTCACTCAAAATGTTTTTTTAAATAGTGTAGAAAAAGGCTGCAACACTGTGCCTGAGTCAGTTGAGGCCATTAGCTGTCGGTGACTAAAACAGCCTGTAAAACCTGGAATGGAGAGTATTAACATGCTTCAGCACCACAGCTTTGCTTTTGCAATGACTCAACAATTAGCATTCTGGTTTGGGAATAAACAGGAGAAGTCACGCAAGAAGAGCACTCTTTGTATTCACATCACAGCCAATATTTAAACAAAACAACACAAGGAAAGTAGAAGAAGGTGAAAGCGGTGACACCGGACAGGCCTGTTGTTATGGAAACAGGAAACAGCATCTCTGCTCATTGTTTCTGATAAGGTCGCTTTCAGTCTTATTCCACTGGTCTAATGATGCATCTCAGCTTCACAGTGACGTGAAGGTGCGGTGAGTGGACCTACTGGTCTGGGAGAACTTCTCCAGAGCGATGAGAGCAAACAGCATGACGGTGGGGTGGGCCTCAGAGCTCTGGAGGAAGGACAGAAGAGAAAAGCTGTTAGGGTTGTGGACTTTTTGTGTTTGATTAATGTGACAAAACAGAAATGTCTCCTTTCACACAAACATAAGAACACACGTGGTTCTGTATGAATACGACTTATGTTCTCTGAGGAGGAAAGTTTCAACTTCAACTGCCAGACGAACTTCATAACAACCTCACCGCAATGAATCAATGTCAGCTTTGTGTAATAATCTCTCCTAAGAATACATTTTTAGTCATTCACATTCATGTAAATAGAACAGCCATACCACATACCAGCTGCATCTTTTGCTGCATGTCATAGTCCCCTTCCCTCTCCACATCACCAACATGACAAATGTGGCAAAAATAATAACAACGACGCTGCAAAGAGGCTTTCTGCCACAATGAAGGAGGTGAATAATGGCTTCCCACTAACCTTAGTCACTTTGAACAATGTGTTTTCCTAAATTTTGGTATAAAAACAAAATTGCCGGACATGTTTTAGTGCTTTTGTTGGATCAGTGTAAATGCTGGAGATGCAGAGCTGATGTTGAATAGGAAGACAGGGAGGCTCTTATCTCATAAACAGTAGGAGCACAGGTAGCAAAGTGTTTTCCTCTTTATAATTATACCACTGTCTTTGTTGGACATCGTCTTGCCAGGGATTTCGAAGCCATTTGGAAAATCTACAGCCCGTCTCTCTGACATGATTACCCACCGTGCATTCATCTCAAGCATACTGCAGCTTTAACATCGCGCTCACGCAAGAGTCGGCCCAATCTTGTCAATCACCAGCAGCAGAATAACCACAGCTGTCATCTCACCAGCTAAGCAACCACAATGCATCAGCAAATCTTAGGTTTTAGCACGCAGCAGTGCGATGTACGTCACACACTTAAATACCAGGTGTCAGTGTTTGCTCACCAGGCTCTCCAGGAGGTACTCAAGGGTTCCAGGGCTCAACAGTCCAATACTGGCTGGTCCTACGGAACAAAGATGTGCAAAGAAAAAGGAAAAAGAAAAACAGAGACAGATGAAAAAAAAAAAAAGTTGTGTCCCAAGTACACAAGCCTCTATGAATGAAACTTCCTCTTTATCATCAGTAACGGTGGAAACTCTGTGAGCTGACAACATTAGTTCACTGTTGTGGAAAGATCAGTAGACCGTCTTCTTTCACGTTGTCTCTTTTATGTCATGAGGACAAACACATTCAACTCAGTGTTTAGGAAGGAGTGTTTTCCTGACTTTGAGAGGAATACTGACAGACTAAGCTAAACTGGTCTAATCTGACCATTAACTGTACCACAGAACTGCACATCTGGCATCCACAGATGTTAAGTTGTAAAGAGCGATATTACCTCCAAATACGAGGGTTAGAAACCGTGTCAAAGTTAGTATAAAGTCTAAGCAAGCTTGGATGCTGTACTGTCATGTAATTAGCTGCTTGTAACAAGCTTCAGCATCTAGAAGTCCATAGCGAGCAAATCACACGATTAGAAACAAAATCAAGTATGTAAATGTGGACTCTACCCGCCAGTTTCTCTGCCAGGCATCCCAAAACAGCGGTGGTATTTCTGTGTTTAGCAGGGATTAAAGCGTCCTGCCGTGCAACAGCCGAACTCAGACTCAGCATGTCAGAGAGTTTCTGGAGAGCATCCTGCAGAGAGAATATGGATCAGTTAGTCCAGTGACGCTCACATCTACACACAACTTATACTAAACAGTCCAAAAGTCAAGACGGATGGAGAGCTGGAGCGTAGCATTTTCTGTCATGCATTTACAAATCCATTCAATATTCTGGCAGAAAATCTACAAGGACACAAAGATAAATGTGACTGCCGTCTATGAGCGTTGTTAAAGTGAGGTTTGACTCTTGTTTGTATATGTCTGGGGCTTTTAAGGTTCTTTTGGATCCAGCACTTTTTTTTTTTTTTGCTCAATCCTGGGAGAAGTCCAGAGTTCACTCTGTTCTGAGTGTCACGGTTTGTCCTTGGGTTACTTTAGTCAGGGAAGCAGGGGGTCCTAACCAGATTTTATTTGTCCAAAGCAGAAAAAAAAGAGGTGGGGTGAGGTGAGGGGCTAGACAGCAGTGACCCAAAGGAACAGCAAGAGGAATGTTTTCTGTCATCAAATAAACTATAACTGTTTGCCTTCCCAGGTAGTTTACAACTCTACAATTCTACCATTTCATTTAGCAGACGCTTCTATCCAAAGAGACGTACATCTGAGAGCAGATACAACACAAGCAAGGATCTGGTCAGGAGAAAACAATCTAGATAAGAGCCATAGAACAAGTTCAAGTGTGATAGGGCGCTGATGCCAACAGCAGGCTGTGTGGGAGGTCTTTTGTTTTGTTTATTTGTTTGTTTTCAGTCAGTCTGTGCAAAATGTATTCACTGGAAGTTATGACGACACATTTATATTTTATGTTTATTGGTAAGTTACTTATTCCCAACAGATTGATGTGATGAATTTGAGATCTTAAAACGATACAAAAAGCTTTAGGAGCAATAATAAAAGTGCATGTAGTGAAACCTTTGCCTCTATTTGTTCATTCACGCAGGTCTGCATGTCATGTTGTGGAGGAGTGGCCTAATAATCACTGCTCTTAAGCAGGATTGGCAGCCAGTTAAATGTGAATGAGTGAGTTAGTTAGTGTTGCAGTTGCAAGCAGAAGGGGTCCGTTTGAGATTACAGCTGCTATTTTCTACGCAAAGAGTCGGGTTAGTACCTTGGTCGGGAGAGGACACTCATCCAACAGCAGGGTGATCACTGCAGGGCCGAGTGGATCGTCCAGTGGGATCACTCGTATCAGAGACTGGACAACCTCCAGCCAACCATCATCTAGAAGGAGAGAGCGGTAAGGCCAGTCACATAAACACCATCACTTCAAAGTCGGTGTAAAAAAGATGGAAAGATTTTTATCCACACTGAGAAAACAATATAATGTGACAAGAACAGTTTTTGAGAGAAAAAGACAGAAAGATTTCTGTGATAATTAAACCACATAACTGAAAGTTATCTGTACCAGGTCAATTACTTAATGAACATCAGATGCAGCATAATTTCCTGTCCATGACTCAGTAAGACATCCTCTCTAACACTATCACTTATGAAAGCCAACGGGCTGATGAATAATCTAGCATTGTAGCACCAGTCAAACAGAAAGTGACGGGCAGGCTGACTGACTTGCTGCTTGGCTGCCTTCAGGGTTCAGTGTCTGCAAGCTAATACCCAACTTGGCTGCTGTCAAGCCACACAACACCGTGCCTTGTGAGCATCAAACACCATATGTGCATGACACAAGGCCCAAGCGCAAGAATTCAAAGCCTACCACGTACACATCCACACAAGCGCTCTCGCACGCACAGCATGGGAGCATCAGTCGCCATATGCACAAGAAAGCACATGCACAACAGACCTAACATGTACACAAACATCAGCTGAAGCTCCACAAGACACGAGCCTGAATGAGAACCAGGACACATCAGTTACTGTCAAACTAAGAACACAGACGCTCTGCTATTTCATCCACTCGGTGCACAAACAGAGAAAGAACATTCAAACCCGGTTTAGACAAAAATCACAAGATCAGACTCATAATGCCATAACAAACTGAAGATTCCTGTGGTGACACGTCCCTTCTCCATGTGATGTAATGCCCCCTAGGCTGGGCCAGTAAGTGTTGAAATGCTAAAGCAACAACATGACAGCAGGATTGCAGACAGCAGACAGGTGGGTTACAGCCTGTCTTCTCTACACAGTGGAGTTTCTCCAGTTTGACATAAATGGGATTTTTTTTTTAACCTCCCAAACCTACCCGCGGTCTTTAAGGAGGAATTTTATATTTAAGTCAGAATTGTCTTGAATGATCAGCTTTTGTACATCACGCTTCAAAAAATGGAGGTATATGTACACACATTTCATCTGAATCTGGATAAACATATGGTAATAAGTGACATATTTGTAGACAAACCGGGATCATGCTGTGATTTTGGAGGTGGACAAACTCCCCCTGTGATCGGATCTCAGCCAGGTGTAAATAAAACCTTAGTTGTGCCTCTTCCTGCTAACTTCAGCTACAGGTAGCAGCATGTCTGTGTTAGTCACCGCTATCAAACTATTTTGCATAATGAGATCAGATCAAAGTGCAGGTAGAATCCAGATAACAAATAGGCTTTTTAACACCAGGTAGAAACTTAAAGACACGTGATTTAGGGATGTCTATCGAGCAAATACATCCAGATACAGATAGCATGTTAACACACGGAGCAAAGGGAAACGCTTAGATGAGTCTGTGACTACTGTCAGTGAAGTGCCAAACTGGAGAAAAATCTCAAAATAGAAAAACAGTCACTGAGGGAGAGGACTGCAACTATGCTGCTTATAATGCTGCTGTGATATCACTTCCTAAGCACTTCTCAAAAACAACTCAAGTTCAGCCGGAGGGGGAAGGGACGCATTCAATTCCTGGAACTCCTCAGCAGTCAGTAAAAAACGATGAATCCCCTCGATAGTTTGTGAAACTTCCTAACGATAAAGCTACAGCCCGACTTTAATTTGGCTTTAATTCTAACGAGCTTGACCAATCAAGAAAGGTTTTTGCCAACTCATCAAACCACGGTTTCTAAAAAGAGCCAACTGCTAATCACTTTGCCCATTTCTAACATGTCGTTATCATTTTAAACACATGACTCTCACCAAAGTCACAAGGCTTTGGGTATTCTGCACAAGATTTTTTAAAGAGTGTTGTCTTGCAAAAGTGTGGTTTTACTTGATCTGTGGCTGGATGGTCCACGCTCGCTGTGTGAATGTGTGTTTTTGTTTTTTCCTTACCGGTCTCTGCCATCTCGTGCAGAGTGATCATGGAGTAAGGGGGCTCTTGGTCGCTGAAAAACAAAGCAGAGTTTGCACAGAATTTAATGACAGCCCAGTTTAGGAGCATCTCTCACTTCATTTTTGTGCATATTTTGCACAAACGACAGCAGTGGTTGTCAGTAAAAGCGTTCAACCAGCCGGCGAGTTTGTGACCCTCCAATCAGTGCATCTGGAATAATATAAACAAATGATTCACGTTTCTGTGTCTCTGTGGTTGCAGTAATGGATATGGACAGTAATGTTATCCTGTGGAGAGGTTAAGCCAAGTGTACAGTTGTAATGGATGTGCTTCAGTGGGTGATGCTGCTGATAACGCTGCAATTACTGTTTCTTGTCGCGGCCCATCCCACGCCCAAACCTGCTTTACTTTCCGACCGCCGTGTAATCACACAGCTTGATTCTTGGATTTCCCAAAACAGCTAAGTCATACTGTTATCGGATTTCCTGTCATTAATAAGTCAAACTGTGTTTAAATTGTTGGAAAAGCACATGCACGGTTTAAAAGCTACAGGATAACGAGGTCGTCTTTTAAAATCTAAAATGTACAATCTGACACCCAGATGCTGATGTTTCAGCTTGACACATGTTGATCAACGGAGCAATCAGCAAACTGTGGTTCCAAAAATGATCTGTTACATCAAAACCTCTCTGACAGAGAGTCAACAACAAATAAAAAAATTTTGACAAAAGGCAGATATTTGTACGGGGCGAGTTGTATTACGATGCATTTTACTGTAAGAAGCTTTCTGAAGATTTCAAACTAGCAAGACAAACAAGAATGTTGGATGACAGTCACAGGACCAGAATATACAAGACTATGAAACTTAAACACACAACATAGTCACAGGCGTTTGGTAATGCTCAACTTAAAACCTGCAGTTTCTACCCTTCTAATGCAAATGAACTGAGCCGTTTGATTTTCTCACCAACGCTCATTTCTGTTCTTGGAGTCAGGAGGCTATTACAGGAACCCAGCACACACGCACTGAACAGCACCGGATGTGCACTTTCTCCACCACATTCATTTTCCAACTGCCGCAAACACTAAATCTTTAAACACGAATTTACAAAGGTGGGTCAGCTTGTCGGCCTGTTGTTGTTTGGCTTTATCCAAGCATTCATCAGGCTAAAAAGGTAGATTGAACAAGTACAACTGAAGAAAAGGCTTAACCAGACAGGTGCAGAGACTTGCAAACTGGTCTGATTCTTTTACCCAGAAACTAGGACATTTAAACATACATTTGCAAAATAAAGGACGATCAGCATCAGTGATTGAAAGCAGTCAGATCATGTGATAGAGAGGCTTAGAAAGAAACTCAAGCTGAACTGGAATAGACTGCATGGAGCGAAAATGAAGACTAACTAAAGATGATATAACAGAAAAGTCTTTAACTTTCTCTTTTCTGAGCGTCCGCCATCAGCAGTAACTCCATCTTCTGGGGATGGTGGACATGGAAACGTGGGACTTTTTTTTAATGAGCTTACTCCAGGAATACAACTCACACTATGCCAGGAAATGAAAGACACTCTAGTGGCCAAGTTCGAGGAAAGAAAAGGACAGTAAAACGTATTTCTCTGCAAGATTAAGGAACGCTACTAGGCTGCGGTTTTCACAGTTATTATTTTATCATCTAACGGTTGTCAAACTCCAAGATGGCAGCGCCCTTTGGAGAAAAGACACAAAATATTCTCTGTTTCCCTTGTTTATGCTTTTCATGTTTGTCGTATAGCTTCTGACCAGAGTGGAAATAAATGTAGTGAATTATGCTAATGAGTGCTTCACTTCCCCTGTAAGGCATACTCCTCGGCTGCGCCTCTCATAACTACAGTCAGAGATACAGTCCATATAACAGACTACACTGCCTCTAATTGGGCGGTTCTGTTTACAGCGATGACACTTAAACCTCTCCTGAACACATTTGACAGTCATCCTGTCCGTATGTTCTTCTAAGCCAACAAAACCTTGTGGATGAAAACCCCGCAGGGTCACGGCGAACGGTTCTGCCTTCAAAGAAACAGCTCTGTAGAAGAGGCGGCAGAGGAAGAAAGTGCCTCTGCATCTACACAGGCAACACAAATCCTGCTAAATCATTGTAGCAAGACATCGCTGCATCGAGAAAGGAAGCGCAGAATGCAAAGGAAACTGACTGGCATGAAGTCCTCCCTTACAAGTTCTACTCGTTTGAAGCCACAAGTAAATAACTTAATACCCGCAGCTGCTTCCTGGAACACTTGGTACTATTTGTTTTAAGCAAGATATCCTTTTCCATGAATAACTTGCACATTTTAATATCAGCCTTAATTTACGGCTGTGTCAGGACGCCGTTAGGTTGCCACCATGCTGCCAGGATTCATTTGAATCTCTGGATCTGGAAGTTGGTCAGCACATTTAAAATCTTATGTTGCCTTTAAACTACAATATTTATGGTAGTTTATCCACAGTGGAAGCACAGAATCTGGATAAATTACAGCTGGACATCATAATAGCATAAAAATCCTAGATGCTCATCTGCAGTACAAATGTCAGAATGACAAGGTGATGTGAAAATGAATATTATCAGCAAACTACGACAGCACACAATCAATGGGAATTATCCACCAGACAGGTTCATAGTATTTCACAAAGCGCGGCATGCAGAGACACTGGCAGAACTCTACACAATTAAATGTCCAGGACATTCATTAAAACTGTGCAAACCACTCGGACGCTTCCTTCCATTTTCACCATTAAATTATTAACTCTGTCACTGGGCTTACTTGTCAACAAGTGTCCTGATGACAGCCAGTGTGTCCAGCACCAGGCCATCCACGTTCTGTTTCTTCCGTCTGGGCTCATGGGGTCCTCGTCCTCGGCGTGGCGGCCTGACTGGGTCCCTCGGCCGACTGCTACGAGCCTCTACGGTGTCGACACCTACGCCTGTACCGTGATCCACCCGCCTGGCTTGTCCTCGAGTCGCCCTCGCTGACCCGTGGTGATGGTCCTCCAAGTCACTGTCTTCTCGGCACACACAGCTGTTACCCATGCTTCCAGAGCCGGAAACCACACTGGCAAGAGTCTCCCAGAATGGAGGAAGGGAGTTAGAGGAGGAGAGGAAGAGCAGAACCCGTGCGAGGCTCCTGCAGGCACAAAAAGTGATCCAGGCGGCTACTATCATATCATTGGGAGAGCTTGTTTTGGGGGGATTCTCGTCCCTGTGGGCTGGGTGGGGTCGGTGTGAATGATCATATTGTTGGGGGTTGTCACAGATGACTGGTTAAATGGCCCAGGAGGGGTCAGGACACCTAACAGGGAAAGCTGTGAACATCATAGACAGCCCAGGGCTCGGTCCAGCTCTCATCCAGGACTCGCATAGCTGTGAAAGCAGCACAAACACAACAGAAACCGTGAAACTCTTTATCTAAGTAAAGTCTGCCTGAGCTGTAAATCAACCTGTGTAACATTTATCATGTCCTGTCAGCAGTGAAGCTTTAAACTTGGCGAAATGACAAGTCCTCGGTGGGTTTTAAGTCCACACATTTCAGGAATAAATTCAGAAACACTACAAAGAAAATGTACTTTAGCCATTTAGCTTTTCACCTCTCACAGTAGCTACTGAACGATGTTTATCTGTTTAAATCTAAAGCTGTGCTGTTTCAGTCACAGCGTGTCGACAGAAAGCTCATCATAAAGCTGCTGAAGGATCACACATTTAATACTGTTGACAAACAGGAGCTTTCAGTTAGCTGGCTAGTAGCTAGCCACCCACAAAGCCAGCCCTGTACCGTTATCAGTCACAAATAAAAAAACAAGTTTCAAAAACTTCCTCTTAGTATTTTGCTATTTAACAAGAATGTCTGAGCTTTAACCCGAAGGCATACTTACGTTGCTACCACTTGAAACAACAGCATTCACACGCAGTCGAGCCCACACCAAAGTAGTTAACAAACACAGAGCTAACTAGCTAGCTCCGTTGTGTGGTGGCTAGCCTGCTAGCTGCTAGCCGGACACTCCTCTGGTTCTCCTGTCAGACTACACAAGTTAGCTAACGTGAGGAGCAGCGAACGAAGCGTGGCTGTGGACCCCCGACCAAGTCCTGGAGCACCTCCGTGTGTCCCGCCTGTACTCCTCAACACGCCTTTGCCGTCGCACCAAACAACACGTTCACTGCCGACAGCGCGAACACATTCTACCGACGTTACCACTCCGCTAGCTGCGAGCTAAGTTCCGTAGCGGTGGCAGCCAAACGGTGGGTCATCATCATCAGCTGTGGATGCGGAGGCGAGGCTGAAGGAGGAGGGAGGAGGTTTCTCTTAAAAAAAAAAAAACGTACAGGAAAACAAAATCCATCCTTCCTCTCCGTGATGTATATTTAGGTTTTTCATTCGG